GTTTTGGAGAAGGCGGCAAGGGAGTGGTGCGGTTTGTCTCCGAGTTTGAAGATGCTTCCGATGATCGGAAGTGGGTATGGGCCGGGCGGCAGACGCGTGGCAACACCGGACCTTCGACGGCCGGATTGGATAAAAAAGAAATAAAAGAAGGTGAAAATGGAGAGAGAGATGAGGATCATCGTATACTCCATCTTGTCGTTGTCCTACTTAACTGAACCATATGTGATGGTTGGGTTATACTTTTATAGTGGTTGGGTTATACTTTTATAGTGGTGGTCCTTGTTGCATTCCAAAATAGAAAAAAATGAGTAAACTACATTTTCCATCCTTGTAGTTTATTCAAGGTAATTTTGGTCCCTATAATTTAAAATCTACGTTTTTAGTTATTTGGCCTTTTGTTTTATTTTTCCTTTTGTTCCTTGACTAACGTCCATTGTTAAAAACTCATGCACCATTAAAATTACCAACATGATCCTCATAGAAAATGGTCATATAACAAAAAACGACTATTTTATTGTAATTTATAATATGATCATTAAATTTTTTAAACTATTGATGTGTATGGATTTTTTAATTTTGAATTTATTATTTATACACCGATAAATTTTAATTTAATTTATTTTACTTCTTTATCTTTTTCAATTTTCATTTTAAACCTTTATTATATAAGAAAATGTTATGACCGGGTTGTTTTTAAATTGGTTTGAAAGTTGATGGAGGTTTTTGGTTAGTTGTGAAAAGTTGAAGGGTGCATTTTAAATATTGGGTTTAATTTTTTTTATTAAAATCTCCCGTGCCACATGTGGAAGATAATATATTATATATATATATATATACATAAGTGGATGAGGTTTCGAACAAAAAAAATTAAAAAGAAAAGATTACACATGTTTTAATTGTTCAAGGTGAGTTTTTGTTAAAAAATAAGGTGAGTTTTTGTTAAAAAATATTGAAATGCTTTTGTTAAGAAATAAGTTGGGTTATGGTTTTAGTTAGTTTTTGGTATGTTAATTGTTATTTGTTGGTCAATTTTTTTTAAGATTGACTTACGGTCGGGTTACTATCAATTAGAAGTTCGAGAAGAAGATGTGACAAGAACTTCTTTTTGTACCAGATATGGGCACCATGAGTTTTTAGTAATGCTTTTTGGTTTAACAAATGACCAACAACGTTCATGGATTTGATGAACAAAGTATGTGATCAATATCTTGATAAATTTGTTATTGTCTTTATCGATGATTATATTTTTATATACTCACGGTCTGAATGGAACACACAGATCATCTTTGTTTAATCTTAGAACTCTGAAAAAGAAAAAGTTATACGCAAAATTGTCAAAATGTGAACTTTGGTTGAGGGATGTGTAGTTCTTGGGACATGTGGTTTAGGAAGCAGACATTAAAGTTGATCCAGTTAAAATTGAAGTCACTGAAAAATGGAAAGCACCACAAACACCAACGGAAATCAAAAGTTTTCTTGATTTGGTCGGATATTATAAAAAAATTATACAAGACTTTTCTCGTATCGCAACGCCTCTAACAAGGTTCACGAAAAAGAATTTGAATGGAAAGAAGCACAATCTAACAACTTTCCAATTGTTGAAAGATAGATTGTGTAGCGCATTTTATCGCAACCAAAAGGTTCAAACGACTTTGTGGTTTATGATGTTTTGAAGTTGGGTTTGGCATGTATTCTAATGCAACGTGAGGAAGTTATTGCCTATGTTTCAAGACAATTGAAAGGTCAAGAATTCCAGTATCCCACGCACGATATTGAACTTGATACCGTTGTTTTTGCCTTAAACATTTGGAGACATTATCTGTTGGGACCCACATGTCAAATTTTCACCGATCATAAAAGTTTGCAACATCTATTTAATCAAAAGGAATTAAATATGAGGCAATGACAATGGTTAAAACTAGTAAATGATTATGATTTTGAAACTCTATATCATTCTGGAAAAGCGAACATAATGACGGATGCACTAAGTCGTAAAGATAAGAGTGAAATGATTAAACTTGTTGCATTACGAGCCGAAATAGTTCAAAATATTCTTAATGAGTTATTAAATTGTCAGAATGAGGCCCTAAAGGAAGAAAATATAAAGACAGAGCGAATCGGTGGAACGACATCGAGTCTAGTGAAAGATAGCCGTGAGATTTTGTGTTTTGAAGATAGAGTGTGGGTACCCTGTTTTGGTAAGAACCGAGAGCTGGTGTTAGACGAAATCTATAAGTCTTTATATTCAATTCATCATGGTACTAATAAAATGTATAAAGATTTGAAACCATTATATTAGTGATCGGGTTTAAGGAAAGATATTGCTCAATATATGGAACGTTGTCTTACATCTCTACAAGTGAAAGTAGAACATCAGTGACCTTACATAGGTTTGCAATCATTAAAAATTCCGATGTCGAAATGGGATTACATCACGATGGATTTCATAACGAAACTATCGAGAACACCAAAAGGTTATGATGCTATTTGGGTTATTGTAGATCGTTTAACAAAATCTACACATTTTCTACCAATCAAATAAATGTATTCGTTGGAAAGATTAGCAAAGATATATATCGATGAAATTGTAACTCGACACCAATGTTCCATTATCGATTATATCAGATAGGGACAATCGATTTACATCAAGGTTATGGGGAAGGTTTCAAAAAGAGATGGGATCTCAAATAAGGTTAAATACGACTTATCATCCCCAAACTGACGGACATAGTGAGCGAACAATTCAAACTCTTGAAGATGTGTTGCTTGCTTGTATTATCGAATTTGGAGGTTCGTTGGAAAATTACTTAGTGGAAAAGGAAATGATCGAGCGATGACAACCATGAGGTGGGCTTGGAAGCAACCATCCTTTGAAGAAAGCGTAATAGCTCACTGGTTTAGCTCCATGGCACGAAAAATGTATCAGGGCTCAAGTGATTCACCGAAGCGACGAGACCTTGAAAGCAGTTTTTTTCAGTGTTAGTAGCATTATGTCAATCGAGGAAGGTCTTATTCTTATGGGGAAGAGTGAACACTATGACTGGTGGGGCCCCCCCTTATTTGAGTTCGCACGTGAGAATCGTATCATCAAAAAGACATTGACTGGACTTGAGAGCATTCTCATTGAGTAGGTATGATCGCCAATAACTTGACTTTGATTTCACTCCGTCTTACCCAAATTTATGAATTGTGTCATATAAGGATCATGATAGATTACTTTTGTCATATTGATCATCAGTCAAGGAGGCGAGTTAGGCTAGAGTAGGCAACTAGTCCATCCTTGCTAGAACAATTGACTACCAGACTTGTATACATGAATCAAAGAGACATAGGCTCTATCGATAAGAGCCGAGTTGAAGAAGCAAATAGCTTAGCTATTAGTTAAAAGACTCTGTATGGGATGCTCTTTCCATAGAGTGATAAATAGAGGGATCTTGCTTTCTAAAAGCCATATTCAGGTAGAAGGCAGTATGCAGTCAGGCAGTAGATGACGCTAGAGAGGGATTTGTCAAAGCACGGATAGGAACTCTACCATGATATAATCTCTCTCATTCAAAAAGCGCTATCAAATTCGTTGTCCCAATAGCTTCGTTCAGGAGCGAACAACCACTAAATTGCTTGTTAAATGGAGGAGCGRAAGGGGCAAAGTCAACGACTGAGGCCAGAAGGTATGTGAAAGTAGAAGCCAGGGAAAGGCTTCGAGCTTCTATAAAACTCACTTCGCTCTCTCCGCTTACACGATACACTCCCAACAAAAATAAGATGATGAGATCTTTAGTTGATACCATCGTTCGACTTGTGATCAATCAATAGAAAGAGTGGTGACCCCTCATGGAATTTCTCATACAACAAGAAAGCAAAGAAAAAAGAAGCAGCAAGCCCTAATCTCTTATAGCGATAGCGCACCCCCTTATTGTTTTATCTGCTAACAACACCCAAACTCGTTTCTCTAGAAATGCTCAGCTGGATAAATTCACTTATTTCACACAATTCTTCTGGTTTGGAGGGTTTTTCCTCTGTTCGGAACAACTTTCTTTCTCTTAAATTCTAGTCATAAATGGAGAAAAATTGTATGAAATAACACGTAATGCACTAGTTTTTAGAGATCTCGCAAATTAGAGAGTTCTCAAAAGAAGTCCCATATATATTATATTTGCATTGCAAAGACAGTTAATATCGTGAGTAGCTCTTTAAAACTTAAATATTTCATTTCTTTCTGTATATTTATCTGATTTGTATTTTAATTTTTATATGAAACAAAAAAGGAGACAAAAAGAAGAAGTATCAACAATATAAGATTGGGAATTTTTCAAAAAAATAAAATAAAATATCAATGAAAACACCGATGAAATTTGAATATTTTTTACTACGATTTACTTTGCATTGAAATCTAATTTTCTTTATCCCATTAGGGGCGAGAGTTGAAATTTTGTTTTAGAAAATCATGTGAAGTAAATAGATTTGTTCTTGTGATTTATATGTTATTAGTCTTTTTATCTGCAAATGGCATTAAAAATAGAGCCACAATTTCAAAAAGCAACAATTAACATGCAAACATCCTTTGGGTTGTACACTTCAATTTTATATCTTGAACAAACATTTGTAGAAAGTAGTAACACTTATACAACTTGTTTGAAGTACGTATATCTGATTTGGTTTGTTTTTCTTATGTCTTTTTAGTTTAAAAAGAAATCAAAGAAGAAATTATACCAAACATTCAAGGCATGGCGTTTTCTATAACAATTGTATTTATGGGATTGTGGTTAATATATTAATGTTAATTGATTTCAGTTGTATGCTTAATTGAATACTAATTATAGGTTGATGTTAATGGTTGATTGATGTCAACTTAGATATGAATATTTGTGGTGATTCATTAGGTATGTGTTACAGTAGACAGATTTGTTAATTCCAATTGATTTGAATTATTCTTTGGTAAATTATATATTCCAGTTTATTTGTTCTTAATTTGTCATGTTCTGTCTTGAGCGTGCTTACAAATTAATTCTTTATCAATTGATTTGGTATTTTGTTTAGATCAGGGACGGACCTAGAAAACTTTTCAAACGGTGGCACCATATAATTAATATAATATAATATAATATACATCTAAAAATAATTACAAAAAATATGGTTTTTATAGTACCTATAAACAACTCCTAAACTTGTACCCGACGCGTATTCATCTTTTGAAAACGGTCAATATATACCCAAAAATAATTTCACAAAGTATGGTTTTTATAGAATTGACAAAGAACTCCTAAATTTTTCCACGACGTGTCTTCATGTTTTGGAAACGATCAATGACATCTTCGTTTTTAACATTACTACGTGCTTCCTTTTCTATGGCACAAATGAGGGCAAAATTGAAAAAGTTATCACCAATTCGATTATATAAATCTGTCTTGACAAACTTCATCGCCAAAAAGCATCTTTCAACCGTAGCAGTTGCAACAGGAAAAACCAGTGTTAGTTTCAATAACCGGTAGACTAAAGGATGAGAAAGATGCTTTCTTGTTGCCACCATCAATCTGGTGAGGTCTGCAATACCGTTTAAGTTGGCAAAACTGACATAATTATAAACAGAATGATAGTAGATGTCAAGTTCGTGCTCAAGAATGATCCTTTCCTTGTCTTCAAAATCTTGGGGATACATCTGACTCAACTTCAATAGGCTTAATTTGTTAAACTGAGAAAATGAATTGCGTGGATTCAAAGCTGCCATATTTTGAAGCAAGTCGGTACTTATCTCATCAAAACGATCACCAAACTCTCGGATCTACATATCCAAAACAGTGTTGAATATATCATAGTTATAATAATGTTGATTGTTAATGTTCATTCTTTTCCTTGAGTTTCTTGTATTAACATAAGCTTCAGCCATATCCAACTTGACAATCATATGCTTATCACAAAAAGAGTAGCATTTCTCCAAAACTTCATCAAACCCATTTTCTCTCAACATTTGTAATTGACCTTTGGTTGTTCTTATCAAATCAATAGCTTCCAAGATGTCTTCATCTTTCCTTTGAAGAGCTTGAGGCAATTAATTTGTTCCCTAAGATCGTTGATATCAAGTGCATATAAAACACAAATTCAAATGTTTTTAAGTATGATAAAAGACCTCTTGCTTGAAGCCGACTAGCTCCATTATCATCATCATCTTCGATATATTCAAGCACCTTTATAACATTTGGAAACAAAGCAATCAAACTCACGATTGTTTTAAGATGATATTCCATCGTGTATCTCCAGCTCGTACAAGGGAAATCTTTTGGTTTAACCCCTTACCAGTCTCAATTTCGTTATTTCCAATTTCTTTTTGAATTCTCTCTTTGTGACTTTCTCGTAACATATCTTTTCGTTTGCAAGAAGAGTTTACAACAACAACAACCAACGCAAACAAATCAAAGAAGTCCTTAATACCTTCGTGTTTTTCTTGCAACCGCCACAACTACTAACTGAAGTTGATGGGCAAAAGAATGTATATAAAATGCCGAGTCATTATCACTCAAGATCAAAGCTTTCAACCCATTAAACTTACCACTCATATTTCTAGCATCATCATAATCTTGTCCTCTTACCTATTTTAAAGATAAATTAAGCCATTTAGCCAAATATTCAATGATATAGTTACAACTTAAAGTAAATAAATTATTAAGAAACCTTCTTACCTTTGTAAAACTCAATCCATGTTTTGCAAATAAAGCAACCAGGGCAGATTTAAGACTTAAAGCAGACAATATGAATTCCTCCGCCACAAATGCATCTGTCCTATGATTCCCACCTTGGTCTCTGGACAAGTAACAAGGCAAATAATATGCTCTATCTATTTTAACACTGTATTCCAACCACTGAAATTGATCAAACCAAGTAACAACAAACCGTCTTGCTTTAGCCCCTATAACTTTGGTTGGAAAGATGTGACCTCGTGGTTGACAAGGACCCCTTACCAAGTATTTTCGTCTAATTTCATCTCTTTGATTTGGGTTATAAGTTATAATTTTTGGTCTCTCTGATGGATCCCAAGGAAGATCGTTAACATCAATCACATTGTTGGATGCATCATTATTACCGGTTGATGGTGAAGTTTTTCGTTTCAAATATTTTTTCATAATGAATGAGTAATGTAAATCTAAATAATGAAGCAATGATAAGTAATCAGTAATGAGTAATGTAAATCAGTAAATCTAATCAACATCTGAAGACTAAACATCATAAACTAAACTAAGTAATCAACTAATGAATTGATCAATGATCATTGTCAAAAAGACAAAAACAATCATGAATTCAACAGTGAACAGTTCAACTAAAGCCTTCAACTTCAACAATTCAACAGTCATGAATTTTATTCAAGCAGTCAACAGTTCAATTTTATTCAATCATCATCAAATTCAAGAGTTAACCTAAGAGTAATCACTAATCAAGTAATCAACTAAAACTACTTAACAGTCTTAACTACAACTAATTACTAGAACAATGTAAAATTGTATTGACGATCAACAAATAAGTAATCTAAGACTAAGATTAAGAGTAAAAATGGATTCCTAAAATGGGGAGATCTGAAAATAGAGATCAAAGTCACCAAATAGCCATGTAGCAAGTGACTTAAGTGAAAATCGTTCGAGAATCGTTTGAGAATTGTCCAAGTCTTCAAGAATTGTCCAAGTAGAATCGTTCCAATCGATTGAATCGAATCGCATCTCACTCGCTGTCCTGGTCCGATTATGTAATACGTACGACGCGTTTAAGGCTTTAAGCCTTAAGGGCTATTGGCACTTGGGCTAAGCTAATTTTGTTTGATTAATTGATATTTTTTGGGCTCTGCATTTTTAGAATTTTGATTTGGTTTAGTTTGGACAATTGGGCTTTGCATTTTAGAATTTTGATTTGGCTATTTGGATTTTAGTTGCACTATTTGGATTTTAGGGAAATACGGTAACACCTTTTAAAACGATACGGTAGCACCGTTCACAAACCTAAATTTTTTACCCTTCGACGGAGAAACGATACGGTGGCACGTGCCACCCATGACACTTAACTAGGTCCGCCTATGGTTTAGATGAAATGCTTCTGTTTGGCTAGCATATTTTACATTGGTAAATTGTTTTGTTATGCAGAATGAATTAATACTAAGTGAGGAAGTTGCTGCTTCTTGTTTATCACCAGAAATTTGTTCAAAATGATGTTATAAAAGCTGAAAATCAAATAGGTTTCTTTACAACAAATTATGGTACAAACTCTATCGGAAACAAGACTTAAATTATGAAACCCTAGATTTTCAACGAGACTTCTCAACTTATTGAAATCGAACAAATAAATCCTTAAACTTAACAAAATCGAGTAAATCCTATGAACTTCCATATTTTTAAGGATTAAGTCTCTAGACATTTTTCTGAACAAATAAATCCTTGCACTTATAAAACAAAATGTATATCAATTCTCAATCGATGTAACAAAGTATAATAAATCAATAAACGAAAATGTTAATAGGTTGAGATATGGGTTTAAATTAGAGTTTGTGTAGAGGGAGCCAATAGGATAGAGAAAACAAGTGCCCGCATTTCTATTTTACTTTGTCCAATATGATTGTCCACTTTCAAAATTGAATTTTTCTTTCCATTCTACCCTTAATTATAGGATAAAGAAAATATCTCTCTCTATTATTAAAGATAAAATTGATTTTTGATTAATTAAAAAGTTTAATAATTATGCATTCTCAAAACTATGTGTAACTTTTACTTCGGACATTTATTTTGATATTATTTATTTTATATAACTTTCTTTTAGACAAAGTAGTATACTATGAACATGTATAAAATTAACATTAGGTTAACTGTTTTGCCTTTAAATAAAAAGCACAAGAAATGGATATATATTTAACAAAACCGTTAACCAATGTTATAATTATAGCATGATTATAAAAAACTGTCGATAAAAAAATAGTGAATATACGAAGAAAAAACAACCACCCTCTGTTAGAGGTGTTCTAGAAATGTCTACGACCGAGTAAATAGGTCTACGAATGAACGTGAAGGATTTCATGAAAACAACATGAAGAAGCAGCGCTGGCCATACATCAAGAAATGGAATTGTACTATTCAACCCCCCTTTTGACTTCTCTCATGTTAGAACTACAACTTTCTTTAAAGATGTGATACAAAGGAAAAGCAAAGAATTGATGATAGTTCAAAGTGTATTGATAAAATAAAATACTAAATATTTATTACTATATAAAATACAACATCAAAGAAAAATAATAAGGATAAAATTCATGAATGCAATAATAGAGAGGTTTTAACAAAGAATAGTTTTTAAACTACGTGCTCATTTCAAATTTTCGATCTTGTTATCTAAAATTTTTAATTGGTTTTAAGCCTTTAATCGGTCCTAAATCTGCATAACCGATAAAAGTCTTTTAAGACCGGTGGTTCCTCATATTTAGTTGATTTTACACATATTAATTATGTATTATGTTACAGAACACATGTGATTCTGTTTCCTTCTATTTAAATTAACCACAAGGGCGGTGCCTGATTGGTTTGAACTTGGCTTCAAAGGTCAAAAATACCAGGAGGTCTCAGGTTCAAATCCAAGGAGAAATAAAAATCCCCTTGTGGCCACGGAGGTTCAAATACGGTGACTTCGGGCTATCTGCAAAATAGGTGGTCGCCCTGGAATTAGTCGGCTCGCATAGCTGGTTGGATATCCAGGTTAATAAAAAAAAAAAAAAATATATATATATATATATATATATATATAAAATTTAAATCATCATATTTCATGCTTTAAATCACATGTGATTAAAATTTGGAAAAATAAATTCAATTCATTGTGAATCACATATGTGATTTTGATGAAAACTAAATGTTGCATTTAACAAAATATAGATTCTTTAAATGAAAATTAAATTGTACTTATTTTAAATGCCTTGAATAGAAAATAAATAAATCTTTTACTTAAAAAAATTAAGTCACATTAAAATGATTAAAGTGGTAGAAGAAATAATCTTAACTAAATACCTTCAATAACTCTTATACCCTCATTTAATGAATTATGTGGTATATCTTCATTCTCTTATTTTTTTATTTAATTATTATTTTCCTATGAACCCGATTATATAAAAACTATTCGATGCTTATATTAGAAAATAATAGAGATACTTATGAATAATTATCATGAGTTATCAATTATTATTGATATATATATATATATATATATATATAAAATATGTATGTGTGTGTGTGTGTAAGATGGTAAAATTTATTTATTATGATCATGGGTTTTATTTAGGAAACAAAATAAAATAAGATATTTATTAAACTAAATGAACAATTAAGATTGGTTTGTTAGAATTAAATAGTTTATAAAATAAAACATATATATGAAATGCAGGGACGGACCCATAAAGTTTTTTAAACGGGGAACGATTTAACTATAAGAAAAAAGTATACGGAAAAATATCAAATGGTGACACCGCTTGATTATAAGAAACAAATATACATAATTTTTTCAAATGATGACACCATTTGATTAAGAAAATGACACTAATAATTTTTTCAAAAGCCTTACAAACCAACTATACCAAATAAAACTTGTTCTTATTGTAGTTTTAAAATATGTACGATGACTCACAACAAATTAATACGATTGCACCTTTCACGAATCTAAAAACTTATACTTTTTGATGAAAGAATACATACCATCATATGCATCACTATAAATCCGTCTATGATGAAACAAATATATAATACAATATATAATTGATATAGATATATATTACATGTATGTTCAAAAATGACGTTTTTTTTAACATATAATAATTATTCACAAAGAAATTCGTATGATTATGTAAAGGTCATTGATTCAATTTTATATTAGCTGATGGGTTTGAGGGTACATGTTCATCGCTTCTTCACCGACCATTTATTATTTTTGTTTTTTTTTATTAACCTGAATAACGACCTGACTAATTTTAATATAACCATCTATTTTACGGGTAGGTCGAAACCACTATATTTGAACCTTCGTGGTCATAAGGGTATTTTTTATTTCCTTCTTCTTCAACTTCAAGAGAAAAAGAAAAACATGCGTAGGGGTGTTCAAAAAAATCGTTTGACCGCTCAAACGGGCCGAACCAAGTTAAACCAGATCGTTTTTGGCGGTTTGAGCGGTCTGACGGTTTGATTTGATTTGGAAAATAGAAAAACCGGGCGGGCGGGTCTGCGGTGTGGAATGTTTTTTGTCCAAACCGACCGCCAAATATATTATTTATTTATTTATTTTAGTATTAGCAAACCCAAGTTATGGGTTATGCCTCAAATATATCCCTAAGTCCAAAATAATAAAGTCTAACATCTAACATAATCAAAATTGATATTTAATCTAAAAGTATAAATTATATATGTTTTTTAAGCTTAATACTAAAAGTTCATTAAAGGCCTAAATCGGTCAGACCAGCCCATCTTTTCGTGGTCGGCCTTGACTGGTTTGGACACTTGATGTTAAACTGTTTGGTTTTAAAATTTTATAAACCGTTATTACGGTTTGGTTTATGGGTTGAAAGGTTAAACCGTTCAAACAGGACCACGAACACCCCATAAATTGCGTATTGTTAGAAAATATTTCAAGCATTAATTGTTAAGAGGCAGTTTCTTTTCAACTTCAAGGGAAAAAGAAAAGCATGCGTATTATTAGAAAATATGGCAAGCATTAATTGGAAAAGTCAAAGTTCGACTGGAATGGCCATTAGAGGCAGTTTCTTTTGCAATGTGAATCCAAACTTATCACTCATATCCATCGTTCCTTCTTTAGTCTTCCAATCAAACTTGTAAATCAAAGATCCCAACATCAAATGCAGCATTCTATCTGCAAGAGGCAATCCTGGACACATCCTCCTCCCTGCACCAAATGGAATCAGTTCGAAATCACGACCTTTGTAGTCGATACCCACTTCAAGAAACCTCTCTGGATCGAACCGTTGTGCATCCGACCATACGTTTGAGTCCTGACCCATCGCCCACAAGT